GAAAAAAATCCCTCACCACCTCGTTTACTAGGATGGAATAGTGACAAGAGCTAACACAACCAGTCATCCAACTACACCATCTTTCCCCAAACCCACACTTCCTCAAAACCTCTAGTAGGAACTGCCAGTCCACCAAGTCATAGGCTTTCTCCAGATCAAGCTTACAAACAAAGCCTCTCTACTTGGACCTCTTCATCTCTTCCACACATTCATTGGCAATCAGAATCTGAACAATTATCTGACACCCTTGGATGAAAGCCCCTTGAGCCTAACTAATATTGGAGGGAAGGATTTCTTTAATCCTTAAAGACAGGACCTTGGCCAGGATTTTATAAATACTAGTCACCAAACTAATTGGCCTAAAATCTTTAGGATGGAGAGCATCAGCTTTCTTTGGAACTAGGGCCAAGAATGTGGAATTAATGCCTCAACTGACTATATACCAACTTATTTGTCAAGAGAGAGTTGGTATTTTGTTTTAAGTACATAAATATAAGATTAATGGGTTTGGGCGGGTTGGATTGGTTTAAAGCGGGTTTGGGTTGAAGCCAACCCATTTAATTTTATATAACTAGGTCATTAATGGGTTGGCAGGTTAGATGGGTTAGGTTGAAGCTCAACCCAAACCAAACCCAACACAACCCGCCCAATTGCCACCGCTATATATAACTTATAAAATAGCTTAGAAATTGTAGAAACATATAAATTGTATATTTATACATTCCATTGCCTAGGCACCTTGGTTCCCTATGGTCACCTAGCCTCGCCTAGGTGCCTTGGAAACTATAATTAAGATATAAATGAACGATTTATGTAAAACATGCCAAGCATCCCTTTTTGTCCTAATCCCTTTTATGTTTATGTAAATAGCCCAAAAGGTTTCAGTTCTGTTCACCCCTTGCCCTATCAGTCCATCTACAAGCTGTTGACAGACTACTCCATCCAACAATACTTGTTTTTCCCTTGTTAAATGCCTCATTTCATTGATGGTTTTTCTATGATGCCAGCTGTTTGCTCTCTCTATTAATCATCCAGCTCATCACCATCTTTAGGTTTCCTATCATTAATCTATTAATGTTCATTGTTTTGCTCAAGCTGAGGGGTGAGGCTCCTTTAGTTATTCTTTTTAATTATTCTGTAACTTCACATTCTAACTATTAAAACTCTCATTCTCATTTCCTCTAGATCTAGACCCTAATATCTGTATTTTACTTTCAGGATTTACTCTTGTAGCTGAAACTCTACACGCTTGTTTCTGACATTTCATTTCACTAGCTCTGACACTGGCTATCTTCTCTAGAAACATTTCACATTGTTCTGTAACTACTTGAAACTTCAGTTAGTATGACTCACAATTAAGTTATCTATGGTGCATCTTATACAACATCAGTAAGAGGTTAAACCAAAAAGGAAAATAACACTCAAATCTTTCACAAATTATTTGTCAAATGCCAACATTGCTAGAGAATTTACTAATTCAAATAAAGAAATCATAAAGAAAATAATCATAAAAAACTTGTGTCAGCTTGAGAGAAGTGTGAATTTCCTTCTTTCAGCTTTTTCTCATTCTGGCAGATTTTCAGTGTAATGTACTATTATGTGGTATTTATAAATACCATAGAAATAAATCCATCACATGTAGTTCCAAATTCTGGTCACCATTAAGTCTTTCCTACATGCCAAATAAAGGATAGACAAGATAAACCAGTGGTAGGTATAATGAGGTTTCATGAACATAGGATTTCCCTCTAAAATAGAGGAATCTCTTGTTAAAAATAGAATTTAAAGGAAAATAGGAATTGTAAAGAAACGATTGTAGCATGTTACTATCAATTCAATCCAGCAGTAAAGTGAAAAGATAGATCTGATCAGAAATAATATCCCACTGAGTGATAACTAATAGCAATGATAGATAGAAATAGCAATGATTATAAAAGGTTGACCTCAATGTCTTCACAACTTGCATCAGCCGGCATTATACTCTCAACGGCATGGCCATCTAAGCCCAAGACTGCTTGTAGTTCATATGCACGCTGTTGTAAGTCTGTTGAATGGGAAGCTGATAAYTCATCAATCAAGGATTGACACTGCAACAAATGGAATGAGTTAGGAATCTGCAGATCGTTCAAAAGACTCAGAAGAGTAGAACCAGAACAAGAGTCAAACACTATAATTCTTCTCCCATTATTTGCATGGCCAACAATTACAAGACATCAAGAACGAGCATGGTTCAGGAAACTAATAAAAGCAGTTACCCCTCAAAAGTATGTTGCAAACAAGACCACCAGAAAGAACCACTACACAATAACAAAGGTGGTCTTTAGTTTGAGGCAATATATGGATCATCTTAGTCTACATTGAATAAATGGTCATTGAAAGCTCAGAAAAATGCTATATAACACTGAGCAATAGTGGCATGAAACAGAATAAACTTACATTGTTTAAAAATATTCAGCCATTCCTATATATGACAAGAAACTATGAATAGTCAAAATACATCATCAGTCTATTGAATTGGGCTGTTGTTTTGAAATCTGAGTGTAGTGGTGTCCTAAAACTGTGATGGATGCCTTTGAAGCAGAAGTCTGTGCCTTTCTTGTGGGTCTACACTTTGCCAAAGCATCACAAGTTGTATTTTTTATAGTAGGTGATTCCAGGATTTGAGGCAGATCCATGGAGTTTAGTTCATCTTTTTCATGAAATTAGTGAGATATCTGTATCCCTTGGCTGCAGCTACAGATGGATTCAAGAGAGCTGAACTGAAAGGACTTTTTTGTATGGTGCAAATACTTTACCTGTTTCATACATCATCTCATGTGCATCCTTCTTTTTGTTYTTTTCAGAAAAAAGAACCCATATTTCCAACTCATAAATATTGCTCCTCCGAGTGTGTAACTAATCTTCGTACTGTACCTGTATTGAGGTGCAGTTTCCTTGGATGACTGAATATGAAACTTGAATTAGGTTGGTAGATAGGGGTCAGATCTACCAGTTTTGGGGTGCTGTGACAATCAAAGAAAAAAGTAGAACAAAGGAGGCTATCATTGAAAGTGTAAGTGTGGTGGTTAGGCTACGTATGGGGGTCTCCTTGAAGGACAAAGGAAAACAGAGTGCAGGAAGAAGGCTAAAGGCTTAGGGAAAATGGGATGAGAGAATGATGATTTCGTTATGAGATGGACCCCTATTTATAGGGAGAGATCCCGAGGTCCCGAAAGGAAGGAGCCAAAAGCATTTGAGTCCCATCGGAAAAGGGAATCTTGGATTTGCTGTCAGTTATTAGGGAGCATTGCTAGCGCCCGAAACAGGTTGCGATGAACTTTGGCCTACGCGGACTTGCGATGACCTTTAGACACGCGCAGACCCACAATGAACATTGAACAGGTGCGAAATTACTACAAGTCGGGAACAAATAATGGACACGTGCATCATTAAATTATGCACGTAATAGGATGCCCCGTGGGCCTAATAAAGGCAAGCAATGTAAATAATGACGTCACCCGCGCCACATCGGTTTAAAAGGGTTACGAAAGGAAGTAGCATGCGTGGATTATGGGAATCCTCGAACGAAAGGAAAGTTCGTCCTTGAGATATCTCATAAGACACGTGGCGAAACCCTAGGAGTACTCCCTAATAACTAACAACGAATCCAAGGTTCCCTTTCCCGATGGGAATCAAATGCTTTTGGCTCCTTCCTTTGGGGACCTCGGGATCTCTCCCTATAAATAGGGGTCCATCTCATAATGAAATCATCATTCTCTCATCATAGTTTTCAAGGCATCTAGGCAATTCTGGGCGACACCGAGGTGCCTAGTCGCCTAGGCGATAAAAATTTTATAATATGAAAAACTGACTTTTGGCTAGTTTCCTAGTTTTATATACCATTCAGCATGTATGTTAATTGAAAAATAGCAATTCTCTTTATTAATAACATTAAATTTCCTCTAAAAATGTGGCAAATCATCACATCTAAATGATAAAAATCTTTTACATATATTAATTTCATTATTTTCAAAAATAATACTACTATAATAAGTATTTAGTAGAGCAAATTCATATTAATTAGCAGCTAAAGAAGGTTATTAACTTTATATGATAAATATTCAAGATGGAAAGTAAAATAGAAAAAAAACAAGGATGGAGTTTCTATTTTATTTAATTAGAGAGAGAATAGAAAAAAATAACTTTATTATTCTATTGTTTCTTTCCCCTTTCTTTTCTTTTCTTTTCTTTCTTTCTTTCTTTTTCTCTTCTCAAAACCCTTTGATCTTTTAAATTTCAATAGTAAAACACTAAAACAAAATATAAATGATATTATAAAAGGTGCCCGCTTTGTCATTTTTGTCACCTAGGCGGGCGCCTAGTCGCCTAGAAGGGCACCTAGTTGCTAAAAGTCAAGGCGTTTGGGCTAGGCACCAGCCAAGGGCGCCTAGTCGCCTAGGCGACGCCTTGACAACTATGTCTCTCATCCCATTTGTCCTAAGCCTTTAGCCTTCTTCCTACACTTGGTTTTCCTTTGTCCTTCAAGGAGACCCCCTACATAGCCTAACCACCACACTTACAGAAAGTATTAGTGTGAATGTTGTGAATTGGGCAAAAATAATAGAGATCTTCAAGGAATACATGGTAGATGATATTCTAGGAGCTTGAGGAGTTGTAGCAGCTTCTTCATTAGTGAGCATTCCTATCCTTGAAGAGTGGAGACCTCCTAATAACAATAGAGTGAAACCGAATACAGGAGTTCTAAAGGTAACCCAGACCTTAGAATGGCTTTTTAATAAAAAAAAAATATATTAAATAAGACAACAATATCAGTAGTGCATTGATTATTGTTATTGACCATTGGTTAAATGAGAATGTGCTAATGGAAATCATTAATTCATTTAAGGTTTTACATTAAATAATAATAATAATTAATTTAAAGGAGAAAATATCAGTCCATCTACACATTGCATAGAAGACCAAATAAAAAAGGCCAAACCAATTTAAAACCAAACTGAACCAATTTGAATTCAGTTTGGTTTTAAGTCTAATTCAGTTTGATTCAGTTCATAAGAATGGTGTAACCAAAATGTCAGTTAGGTTCTATTTTCTAACCAAACTGAATCGAACTGACCAAATGAACACCAATAGCTAAGCCTTAAATTCTAAGCCAAAAATGCCATTTCCACTTTCTTCTCAGTTACCTTCCCTGTACTTCCTTATCTTCCTTCCCTCTTTCAGTCCCTTATCCAACTACTTTCTCGACCATAATTAGTATCACATTTCAACTTCACCTCATTCAGTTTGCTACTTCTTTTTCTGTTTCCACATTATTCCTAGGGGTGTTCAAATTTGGTTACCGAACCAAAACCCAAACCAAACGCAATCAAATAAGCCAATTCTGATTGGTTTATTTGGATTTCGGTTCAGTTCCCTTTTTTATTTCATTTTCAGTTTTGGTTTGGTTTGGGAAATTTTCTCAACCCAACCAAACCAAAAACCAATTATATCTATAATATATTATATATTATTTTAATTATAAATATTAATGCTTATATTTTATATAATTGGGTGATCCCTTTTCCCTTTAAAACTGAACCAAACTGATTTCAATTTGGTTCGGTTCGGTTTGTCAAAAGGGTCAAACCAAAAGGTCAGTTAGATTCCCAATTCCAACTGAACCAAACTGAACTGACCAAATGAACACCCCTAATCATTCCTCTTGTAACCTGCACTTCAATTGGACATTTTATTTTAAACTCATCATCCCAGAAAACTGTTGGATTGATTACTCAATTTGCCTTTTGGATCATTCTCCCTACTTGGGAGGCTACGACTTCACTCTCTCAGTTCTGGGCCTTCTGGCCCTTGATTGGTAAAGCAACAAGGAATGTCACCCTCCTTGCTTAACACAATTATGTTCTCTCTTCTGCATCACTAATTTGTGCACATTAGACTTGATCAATTTCCATATTAAAACTCATTCACTTCAGCCTCATGTCCCCTCCTGTTCCTTGCAACCCCCACCTTTCATCCTTCCCATTATCTATGGCACACTGATAAAATCTGGCTCTGGATCTTTGGAAATTAGGAGAAGGGTCAATATATAGGAGGTAAGAACAAGTGTTTTCCCAAGCTATTTCCGGGTCCTCATGTCAGTGTGGATAAACCTTGCCAAAGCACTCCTAACAAGACAATCCACACAGATCAACCCCATCCTTTGAGTACAGATGTCAATAGGTCAGGTTAAATGGTAAACCCAACTTGACCCGACCCTATAAGGTCAGATTAGGGTTAGGTCTATTCAGGTGTAGGGTTGGGTTAGGGTTTTGATTCTTTAACTCGAGTCAGGTTCAGATTTTGGCTGATCTGCCCTGCCAAGTCATGATACCACTACATATATATAGGATATACTTGTAATATGCTGACTTCTGACTCCATAGACTTAAAGTCTAATATTTCTTTTCATGTTTATTTTGGTTTTTCTTCTTTCATTAATGGAGAAGTGACACCTTAGAACCTAGAAGGCTACAAATCAAATTCCAACATAAATTAATGGCTTATAGTTTTCAAAATGTGTTATAAAAAGTTACAATTGAAAGGAAGTGGGTTAGGTTGAGTCAGTATCAGGTTGAACCTTTTAGGGTCGGATCGGGTTCAAAAATTGCATGGGTTGGGGTGGGAATAATGGAGAGTCAGGTTAGGGTTGAGGCAAACTGGTACCAAACTCAACCCATTGACATCCCCACCTTTGAGAGACTTGAGCTTGATTGCTGTCACCCTCCAATCTTCTGTGCCCCACAAAAATTCATTCTCTTCTATAGCATACACCTTGCACTTGTCTTCCTAGGTTTGAAAGGATTTCTTCATCATCTTTGTTCTCCAATGATCTTGATGTGCTGATTACTAGCATTGATTCCATTTGAACTTCAACCAAATGTGCATCAAAGCATGTGAAGATGATTGAGAATGAAGGATAAAATAAAAGGAGTTTTCTCTTTGTCCATTTTGTATCAAACGTGTGAAGATGATTGGGAATGGACCTTTTCAGCAATTTATAGGCCAAATGAAAATAGCTTAAGGAGCTTGTTTTGGGTGGAATTGGACG